AGTAAATAGCCTATTTTGTGATGCCTTTTCTCAGTTGTTTGACTTGTATGCTACATAGTGCAATATTGCTTATTTTTTCTCAATTATGTGTGCTTGCTTGACTTGAGAGTTGAACAAAACTGTCGTGATTGAGTCATGTGCAATGTGTGTGTGAGGATTTGTAATCTTCTGTGCTATCCTGTGTAGTTTATAACTTGCCCCGTGTGTTAATCGAAGCGAAATTGTAAGTTGTGCTAATAGAGGAGATGACGTAGGCATTTCTTGCTTGATCATAGATGTGCTTGTCACACAAAAAATAAAAATTCTATTGCTAGCCCCTTTGAGCCTATAGACCTTTTCTTTGGCACCCACATTACAAGCCATACCCCTATTTTGTTCTTAATTTGAGATTGTTGAACCTTTACCTCCTAAGGCACTTAGTCGCTAAAAGAAATAAAGTGAGAGATTGGGGGGTAGCTTTCGAGTGGAACCATGGAAGGGCCCTTTGGTGCACAAAAATTGAGATCAAAGTCACTAGCCGATGAACTTTAATGTATGAAGTATGTGAAAAATAAATTGCAAGAAAAAAAGAAAAAAAATATGATAGTTCAAATAACGTAGAAAAATACACACCTTCCAATCTTACTGATTTGTGCTAGTGGGAATATAGAAGTGCTTAATTGAAAAGAGGGCTATGTGCATATGGTTTGTGGCAAGTGAATTAGTTGAGAAGAAGATGTGCTTGATTTGTGAGCGTAGTGTATTAAAGTGCTTAGAAGGGTTAGTCACTATTTCTAAATGTATCATACTCGTCCCTTAGCCTACATTACAACCTTAAAGTCCTAATTGATCCTAGATTTGGCTAGCTTAAGTTAGTAAAGATGTACACTACGGGCAAGCTTATGGTACGACCACGGGATGCATATGAATTCTTTGTGAGAGTGAGCGAATTTTGTTCAATTATGTGATGTCCTTAATTTATATTCAAAAGCATATTTGAATGTGTGTACTAAGTCTATATTCACTCTTTTGTGTGTTGGTGCGGGCACATGATCTCATGAATGATTGGTAATATTGTAAACTTTCTTCGTGGGTGAGTACTCGAGTTAAGGATGCTTAGTGGTAACAAGTCGGCTTTTGAGGTTAGGTGGTTACAAATAGGTTGTTGGAATTGATTGAATTGAAATGTTATACTTGGGCATACTTAAACGGGAAGAATGTGAAATTTTGTATGCTCATGCTTGTGTGCCGGCATTGATCATAGTCAAGGGTAGAGTGTATGGTTAAAAGTTGAAGTGCTCCTCTATAGTTGAGACTTGTACGTAGTTGGGGGTATATTTGATAGGCCCATTGCTCGAGGACGAGCAAGAGTCTAAGTGTGGGGTGTTGATGTTTAGTTTAAAGTATATATATTTATATGTATATCGCCTCATGTTTTACTCTTGTTTCGTGAATTTAGGATGTAAAATGTTGATTTATATTAATTTAAGGTGTTGTGATGTGTAGGAATGATCTGGGAGCAATTGGGGGCGAAAGGTGCGAGATTAGAGCCAAAACGGACGAGAAAAGCAAAAATGGCATTTTCAGCGCCACAGGCTACCTGTGGCGCCAGAGGCAGTGTTGGAAAATTGTCAGTGCCAGGAATGGCGCCTAGTGCTGGGATGGGCGCTGGTGGCGTGAATTTTGTCCAACTTTACCCGGGATAAGATTATTTCGGCCCTAGACCTACCCAACACGTATAAAAGTAAGACTAAGCTTATTTTTAGAGGGGAGACGCCACTTGGAAGGGGGAAGACACACGAGAAAAATTCAGGAGTGAAAAGATCTCAATTTTCTTCATCTTTTCTTAGTATTTTCAATTATCCAACACTTATGAAATTGTTTGCTATTGTCATGAGTGGCTAAAACCCATAGTTCTGGGGTTGTGATTTAGCCATGAATATTGTTGTTTAACGTTGACTTAACCTTGATTATAATTTACTAATATATGGTTATTTCTTCAATTCTGTGATTAATTGCTTATTTGTCTGGCCAGCAGTTAGGTTCTATTTACTATCTATGCNGGCACGATGCAGGATATGGCATGAAGCAAGACATGGCCATGGCACAACGTTAGACGTGGCAGGGTGTGGCCATGGCACGACGTCGGACGCGGCCATGGCACGACATCGAACATGGCAGGACGCAGGACATAGAAGGACATGTCCATGACACGACGCAGAACATGGTAGGACATAGCCATGGAACGACGCAGGACATGACACGATGTCGGACGTGGCAGGGCGTGATCATGGCACGACGTCAGACTCGGCCATGGAACGACGTCGGACGTGGCAGGACATGGCCATGCCACGACGCAGGACATGGCAGGACTTGGCTATGGCACAACGTAGGATATGGCACCAGGCAGGATGCGGCCATGGCACAACGTCGGACGTGGCAGGGTCTGGCCATGGCACGACGTCAGACGCGGCCATGGTATGACATCGGACGCGGCCATGGCACGATGTCGAACGCGGCCATAGCACGACGTCGGGCGTGGTAGGGCAGGGCGTGCCTCGTGCTGGCATTACTCTTGGCGTGCCTTAGAATCGGGCGATTTTGTCATCCGAATTGTAGTCTGGAGAAGCATCCTCTGCGGCGGACCGGGCCAAGTCCCTCGGAAGGGGGCGCCAGAGAGGGCGAGAGCCCCGTTGTGCCTGGACCCTGTCGCACCACGAGGCGATGTCTACGAGTCGGGTTGTTTGGGAATGCAGCCCAAATCGGGTTGTGAATTCCATCCAAGGCTAAATACGGGCGAGAAACCGATAACGAACAAGTACCGCGAGGGAAAGATAAAAAGGACTTTGAAAAGAGAGTCAAAGAGTGCTTGAAATTATCGGGAGGGAAGCGGATTTGTTTTTAAGGGTTTGTTTGGAAAATCATTTTAAAATTAGACTAGATATAATTATATAGTTTTGGTGTGTCTGTTTAGCGAAATACTTTGTCAAAATAGAATTTAGTGTAATTAAGGGAGAACAATTACACTCTTTAGTTGTCAAGAAGCGAAAATTGATGATAATTACACAGTAGAAGTGTAAAGTAATTTTCGAATTTTCAAACTTTCTTTCATTCATTTTAAAATATATTGTACTTTTTAAATCATTTCTCTTTCATTTCTTTTCTTCTCGCTTTCTTCAACAGATATGGAATGCTAAAGCAATTAGATAGAATTGCTTAAAAATATTTATTATGAGAACTTTTTTATGGGAACACTTGCTAAAAATAATTTCGTATTTTAGTAGTTGTATTTTTTATTTAGCTTGGTTTGAGAGCTTGGGTAATCTACATAACTCGATCTTGCTCATTATGAGATTTCTATGCAGAGCTTTTTAGCCTTTAGACTACTATTTTCCTTGGCATTTATGTTGCGGCTGGCAGCAAAAATGGAGGAATAACGTAGGCGGCAGATTCTGAGTCTTACTCTTTAATATTTTCTTACTTGTATATTGTTATTGCATTGGATTAGTTCTTGTTGTATTCTATAAATTTAACAATAATTCTAAGAAAGTAACAAATATTTTTAATAATCAAATTTATGTATATTTTTTCTCTCTATAGGTTAATACTTTGGTTTTGAACAAAGATTTTATCAGCAGTGAGCTTATTGTATTTTTATTTTTATATTTGTGAGTATCGTATTTAAGAATATTACAGTTTATCTCAATGCACTAATTAATATTCGAGCTGCATAAATCGAAATGATCGGACAGAATAAATCGAAATCAAAAGTAAAAAAATCAAATTATACCGAATTTAATTAAGTATGGTATTTGTATAACATTTTAAAAAATTAAAATTTAAAAATACCGAATCAAAATATATATCGCACTAACCGAGAAACACCCCTAAGTCAGGTAGATGCTTAGATACCTGTGATATTTTCTAGTATGTTTTAAGTGTTGGTTTTCGAAAAATACTGAAAAAGAGGACAAACATCCCTTCCGGAACTCATAAAAAAGTCCTTTTTAAGTTTGAACATGACAGACGTGCAGTTAATTGTTTTTAAATTGGAAATAGAAAAGGAAAACATGAGTTTAAAAAGAATCCTTCTTAATTATCACCCAAAATAGAGCCATAATTTGAACTTTATATGATTAAATTTATAACTCGTTTTATTTGTTGGATTCATAATTAAGTATTTTATATATATTTAATAATTTTTTAATAAAAATATAGAATTTTAACAAAAACTACTAGGTTCGTCTGAATCTATAGCTAATAATGTAGCTCCCTAACAAGAAAAGTAGGGCCAAACTATTAATAACGATAATTGCTTGGCCAATCAGAGTTGTGGTATAGTGGTAAGTAATCATTCATTCTTAATCAGAGGTCAAATTCGACGTATGAGTATAAAGTTATCTTTGTTTGGAAATTCTTTACCTCCGATCATTGGCGTATAGTAGCCACATGCATTGTAGGATGATCAACCGAACATTCTTTATCGTAAATTATATTATGTATATAGAAACTTATATTATGTATGTAGGTCAAAATTTCTTTTTTTATATGTGTATATTAAATTTTGAACGCCCTTCGCGAAATTTCTGGCTTCATCAATGTCCCAATGTGGTATTTTTCGGTACGAGTTACTCCCTCCGTTTTAATTTAGATGGGGTAGTTTGACTCAGCACGAAGTTTAAGAAAAAAAAGACTTTTAAAATTTGTGCTCTTAAAAGTTTAAGGGGTAAAAATTTTGTGAGACATAATATTTGTGTGGTTATAAAAACTTCTAATTAAGGGTAAAATTAATAAAATAAAGAGTTTAAAGTTAAATTATTTCCAATTATAAAAATATATTATTTTTTTTGGAACGAATTAATAAATTTGAAACAGAGGAAGTTGGATTTATCGAATCCAATACGAGCACCGGACATCGAGGAAAAAAAAAGATAGGTGCCTAACTTTATATGAGCGGCGACTACGCTCATCACAACCCTTTAAAAGAGGCTTTATCCCATTTTAGACCGACAAAAAACCACTTCAGCTACGGCAACTCCAAAGTGAACAGTGCAGTTTTACGAGAGTAACAATGTTCTCAGATCAAAATCTGTTTCAATTCATCATCTTCTTTATTCTCCTTATGTCAATACCCACTTTCATCTTAAGCCAATTCCTAACTTCTCCCTATGGCAAACACTACCGTTCAAATTCAGGAACCGCAATTTCACCACCCTTTGCATGGTTTCTAATGGAAAGCCCAACACTTTGGCTTACACTTCTCCTCTTTCCTTTTGGCAAAAATCATACAAACCCTTTAGCCTATTTTCTCATTTCTCCTTTCCTTTTACATTACATCAATCGTACAATTATTTATCCAATTAAACTCTCCCAAAAAACCACTAATGGTAATTTTCCATTGAATATTGCTTTGACAGGTTTTGTTTATAATATTTTGAATGCTTATATACAAACTAGATGGGTGTCTCATTATGCTAATTATGAGGTTGATGAGTTGTTTTGGCTAAGATTTGTTGGTGGGATTGTTGTGTTTGCAATTGGTATGATGATGAATATTTGGGCCGATGGTGTGTTAATGGGCCTGAAAAGTCAAGGTGGTGGATATAAGATTCCAAGAAGTGGGCTTTTTGAGTATGTGAGCAGCCCAAATTATTTGGGGGAAGTGATAGAATGGTTGGGCTGGGCTTTGATGACTTGGTCTTGGGCTGGGCTTGCGTTTTTCGTTTACACTTGCTCTAACTTGGTTCCGCGAGCACTTTCGAATCATAAGTGGTATTTGGAGAAATTTGGGGAAGATTATCCTAAGAATAGAAAAGCTGTTATTCCATTTCTGTACTAAGATATTTTATGTATATCTTGTTGTGACTTTGTGATTATGCAGTGCAAAAACTATTCCTGCTATTTATATTTCTCAAGCATAATGTGTTTTTATTTTCTACTGCATTTATTTCTCTATATTGTTGTAGTTATGCATACTTACTTTGATTTGTCGGTATATCGGAAACAGTCTCATTACTTGCATATGGTATAAGGCTGCATACTTACTATACTCTCAAATTTCACTTATGGGATTACATTAGGTATTTCGTTGTTGTTGTAATGTGTTTTTATCTTGAAATAAATTTCATCCCCAGGCACCAGCTCAAACTCAGAAAGTAGTAAGAGAATAATTATCGCATGTAAGTAGGCAGTGGCGGATCTAGATTTTGCACAAGCGGGTTCAGTCAAAGACGAGCACAAGTAATAGTATAAATGGTGTCGGGTATGACAACCAAGATTTGATCATTTATATATTTATTGGACTTAACACAATCTCAAAATGAAGTTATTCTAAAGTTGGCACTCTATAGTTTTATCAAAATTGAAAATATTTTTCGAAAGGTACAAACAAATTTATCTATCTCTGCTTGTAGAAATATAATTAGTAATTTAACAAATTTTACTTCCAGAAATTCAATGGAACAAAAATTTGTTAACTCTAAAATATTTAAACAAATCTCGAGTTTTCTTTGTTCCTAATAAGAAGTTATCTGAAGAGCGGAGAGAATAAATTTATAAATACTAAACTAATTCAAGTAACAACTTTTTGGAGCTATATACCAAACTAGAAAATTCAGTATAAAACAAATAAACGTCACTAAACTAAATAAAACTAACTAATTATAAATAATTTCAACAAATATATTTGCTTTTTATCAAATTTTAAGAAACAACGAACCAATTTCACTTTGTAGGTAGGTTTGATTTTTTGAGCAAATTAAACTATAGAATAATTTTTATTGTATTCTGGCAGAAAAGAAAGATAAAATAACATAGTAAAATGATATATGAGTGGACATAAGAGTAATATTAGAAGGGGTTAATCTCAAATACAATCTTGGCCATTGGTTGCATACACTACATCCCAGGAGGGAGATTAAAAGAATAAATTGGATGATGGACGAAATGGGATTCAAACTTGGTACCCTCCAAACATTTTGAACCAACTCGACCACCTCGACAAAGAGTATATTTGTTTAAACAAGGTTCAATTTATTACTTTCTATATAAATGCTATCTGCCTAAATATAATTTTTCAATATGCATAGTATAATTTTTCAACGAAGCGGATTTAACTGAACCCTCTTGACACCATGTGGGTCCGCCCCTGTATGTAGGAATGATCCCATGTGTAAAAGATTTTCGGCAGATTTTCGTAATACGAAGTTTGAAGTTTTAGCAAGTAGTAGAGAACCTACCAAGTTTGAAATTTTAGCAAACGCATCCCACAATTTGTTTTTCATTATGATATTTAATGACAAAGTAAAGAAAATTGCAGAAGACGTACAATTTTATAGAGTAGGAGCATCCAATCCATTTGCAAACTCAATGGCATTGTTGTTTGACCAAAAATATAGATCTTGGTTCAATTTATTAGACTTATGCAAATAAGGGTTAATCTTGGTTAATAATAATATCCTAAAGACGAAATTCTAGGTAATATAATAAATAACACGTAGATCTATTCTGAAGGTTACGATGGTGTACAATAATGACAATATTTAAAGACCCAAACAGAAGTAATGTAGCATTAAACAGTGATGAATAGCAATAAATGACATTTATGTAAATAAAACGAATGAGTCACCCCAGAAAGGATAAAATCAGTGGATGTTCTTTCTGACAATGATGAATGATGGTTAAGCCTTTGAATATTCGAGTTATTCTCGGATCTAATGAAAAAATATGGACAAGAATCTTAGTAAAAATGTTATTTTTGTGTGCATATAATAAGACTAGATTCTCTTTATAAAGTCAAAGTATATTTTACAAGTGACATAGTGTCTCTTTCTAAATGTTCCTAGAAATCCTAATTTTACAAGTCCAGAGAATATCCATTAGAATATTCTCTTTAATGTCCTATCTTGAAACTAGTCGTTCTAACTCTGTCAAGGGTATTCGACCTCGGCCTCGATCTTTGATGACTCCTCATCCTCAGTCCTTGCTAACTCTTCGACCACGGCTTTCATTGTTCCTTAAACCACTTCGACACGTGGCGGCCTGGGAATGTTTCGCCAGTGCTATCCTAACTTAAGTATTCTAGAGATAGATTTTGACCCATATAATTAGTCCCTCCGCTTATTGAGGCCGACTTCGCGGGCGGGTTCGATGACGGATCATGTTGTTGGTGGTCGAACTAATCAAGTGGACTACACGAGTCGTGGTTGCGGTGAGCAGGCGACGTGGCCCTCTGTGGGCCGCACATTTCAAATGCTTCAAATTTCCCAGGTGATTTGCTGGAGTTATGTTGTCCATGGGTTAGGATGATGTCATGATGTTATGCGTCATTATGATACATATTCTCGATATGTCGCTTCGTTTCGCGTGTGACCTTTGATTATACCTGCCGCTTCGGTTCCGGTGCCAATCATGATGAACCGTTTTTGGTTTTGGTGCCATGACTTTTATAAATAGAGATCCTTGAACTTGATTTTGGAGTTTAAACCCTCTAACGTTCTGAAACACCATATCTTTCTCTTGCTTTCTTCTTCTCCGAACTTCTTTCCTCTTGTTTCATTGACCTATATTGTTCTTCATTCCCTCTCGTTTGTTATTTTCCTCCACTACGTTGAATCATGTCTAACGTATATTCTGATGCTGGTGAGGGGAATCGTGTTGCTCCCTTGGCAGTGGTGGTCCCCCCTTCCCCCNCACGTAATCCCGAATCCAGGTCCGACCTTACCAAAGTACCGGACCCCGCGCCTGGTGTCTTTAAATCAATGATGACGCCTAAGGAATTGGCGGAACTTAAGGCCAAACTCGGCCTTCCAAACCATGTTGAGCTGATCCCGGCTGAGGGGGATGTAGTACAGGTCTATCGTCCTAGGTACAACGCTCTTTATGCCTACCACTTCCTCATCGGCTACTCTTTCCCCCTCCTCCCTCTAGTGGAGGAATTTTTTCGTCATTACGGCATCTGCCCGGCCCAGCTTGCACCATACATCTACAAGGTGATTAAGATGCTAACCAAATTTGCTGATCTGGTCGGGGTCGAGCTAATGCTGTGACACTTGATATATCTATTCACCCCTGACTTTTATAGGGGGACGATGTTGAACCTTCGCCACCAAGAAGGCAAATGTTTGGTGGTGAAGATAGACGACAAAGACAATCATCAGTTCTAACTTAACTTCTTCTTCAATCAGGATCGAGGACGTCGTGGCCAATGTCAACGACTTTCCTAAATCTTGGAACTACACTTGTGAGTGCCCTGTTTCTTTCTGTGTTCATTTTTGGTTCAGGGTTTTGATTTTTTTACTTTTCTCTTTTGCAGCCAACGACCAACTTCCTTCTCTGGTCGCTCATATCTCTGAATGGGTCGAGCGACTCCTCCCTCGCATCGTAGGGATCCGTGATTGGCTAGGCTTTTTCAAGAAATTCAAGCATGGTCTCCCTTCGACTGGTAATTTCTTTTCTTTGATCGTGGCCAGGAGAATTTACTATTGTGTATGGATTCGTTTTGCTAACTTGATGTTGTCTTTTTCTCAGGCAAGGGATCTTCTCGGAGGAGTCGGGCACCAGTGCCCTCTTTCCGAAGGACGAATGCTGCATTTTCGGCTTCTGCTCCTGTTGTGACTACTACGTCTTCCGTACCGGTCTCAACCTTAGCTACCATAGTTTGAGAGCCCATCTCTGTTCCATCTGTAACTTCTGCTACTAAACTCTTTTCACTAGTTTATGAGGATGACGCCTTTCCTGATGATGGTGTTCTAATGCCCCGTAAGAGAAGAGTCGTAGATACGGGGGGAGAGAGGCCGACAGTCGTTGATGTGGGAGATTATGGCTTTGTTCTTAGAGAAATGACTACATTGTATATTTGAGAGAGCCCCGAGGCCCCTTACTTGGAGGAAACGAGCATGCATCATGTGGGGGACACGATCGATGGCGAGGTCCATAATGACGGCCCTGCACTTCCGAGGCACGAGGAGGCCTCATCTTCCGGGATCGCGGCGGACGTCCCTTCTTTGAATGATGGTAGAGGGAAGGTCATCACTGAGGAGGATGTTGGATCTGACTCCGACATGGATATAGACGAGTTGAGGATGATCGATGAGGGACTCACTCAACTCGAAGTGAGGTTGGAAGGGGGTTCAATGACTATTCCGATCCTGATGGATCGTAACCTACTTGTAAACACCGAGGAAATAAGCCCTGCCCTTGGTCCTCTTTGTTCTAAAATTGAGGGTCCGACCCTCGAGACGATAGATGACAGAACTTTGTTTAATAACATTACTGGCCTTGCTCTTCGAGTAAGTACAACTGTCGTCCGTTCTTTTCTTTATGTTTTGCTTTCTTTCCTAAGCTCTAATTTCTTTTCTTCATTTTGCAGACGGTTATTTTGGAGATTGAGAGTGCTCGCTGGGAGGAAAAACGTAAATATATTTACGTGAAGTTGAAAGACAAGTATTTTAAATGTCTTGAGAAGTATCGGAAGCTCCGGTGTCGGTGATGTGTGCCAGCTGAGGGAGGATTTGAAGGAAAAGGACGAGGAGTTAATGCGGGTCGTGGATAAATGCAGCATCTTGGAAGGGACGTTGAGGGGAAAAGAGGAGGAGCTCGAGCTTAGCAGGGGCGTAGAAGCCCAATGCAGTGATCTCCAAGCCCAAGTGGTCATGCTGCGAGGCCAACTCGAAGAGTGTTAGTTCAGGGCGGAGGCTCTTAGTGGCGAGGTCGCCGAGAAGAAAGAGGAGCTAGAGAAGGTGGAGTCCGCTCGGTCAAAAACTCTGAGTAGGGCGGAGTCCCTTGAAGTGGCGAACCGAACTCTTCGTTCCGAGCGAGAAAATGACTTGTCGACAGCAAGGCTTATAGAAGAGCATCTTGATGAAAAGATTGGGGAGTTGGAGAAAGAGA